CCAGATAAGGTAGGAACTTAAAACTTGGTATAACTTTGAATCAATACTTATGCCATATTCAAAAAAAGGTTTGCTGGTTGTAGCATTTATGATGACGTCACAGTAATGTCAAAGTTTTGTCGTTTTCCGATACCTATGAAGCTTTTTTATCACTAACCATGAAACGCAACGTTTAACCCGCGTGTAACAAATTAAAATGTTCGCCGTGGAATCTTCTGATAAAAAGAGTTCAGTTCGGCACCTCACTGTATTTCTTGACTCGAGACAGACGAGAGATAGAGTCAGTCCAGGAGAGTGACCGAGAGCAAGAGAGACTGAGTCACATGGCGAGTGACCGAGCGCGAATCGTCGGTGGGCTGCCGAGACTCGGCAGAGACTGCCCAAGACTAAGACCGACCGCGACTGAGACCGAGACCGAGACCGAGACTAGACTAGACTGACGACCCGGCGGCGGCCGGCGCAGTCGTCGACTCCGAGTAGAGGTCGCCTCGGTCGTACAAGCTCTGACATATGGCCTACAGCGGCTGACACTGTTACACCGCGCCCCACTGGGAGAGGGCTATTCATAGCCCCCTCCCGTTATTCTGCAATAACTTCCAAATCCCTTGAGGCATCGACGCCAAACTTTCAATACCCTCGGCTGCATCAATTTGACACCTTTTGTTAGAATATAAACTTCGTAGCTATCATAGATCGGCTGGAAATGACGTCAGAGTTACGTCATGTTCTGCCGATTTCGACGCAAAACATTTAACCACGGCAATCGCTCCCAAGAGCTCAGTTTTTGAGCCAGATCCAATTTCCGTTCATGAGAGGACTTAAAATAGACTGCGCTATCAAACTGCAATCTCGGATTTTCAAAACTTTGATAGTTTTGGAAATTATATAGGTATATTAAAATTCAAAACTTATAATTTTATCTTTTTCCTAAACGTTTTTTTTTCTCGAAATAAAACGGAATATATGTGATATAGGCGCATGCTCATGACCTACTCTAGTAAGTTTTAGCCAGATGTCTTCAAAAATGGCCAAGTTAACGGCTTATAGCAAAAATCTCACAATTATAAAGTTTTCAAATCAATTTTTCCAGTACGTATTTGAAATCGTACAGCAAAAATAAAGAACACTATCGTGTTCCTGAGCTCAAACTACATCTAACAGACACCATTTTTATTAAAGAAAAATTAAACTTTAACCCTCGCCCCACTGGGGGGGGGGGGGTGCTAATTTGCCCCCCCCCTGTGGTTTTCCTCAATAGCCAGAAAACGGCAACGCGCAGCGCCGACAAATTTTCAGTACCTTCCCGGGCATCAATTTGACACCTGCACACAAAATTTCAAATCTTAGGTTACCCTAGGTCAGAAGTTATTGAGGTCAAACTGAGGTCATGTTCGAGCAAAAATGAGCAAAAAGATGCAATCTTGAAACGCTCACAAAAGCTACAGTTACCAAGCAATTTTAAAGTGCTTTTGATGGTCATTTAGAGAAAAGACTGCGCTAGAAAACAACTATCTCAGATTTTCAAAATTTTTGGATTTTGACCCCCAAAAATATGCATTAATATGCAATATGACCCGTTTGGTCACGTCTAGAACTTGACCTTTTGTCAAATTTTCAGCTTAACCGCTTCAGCTTAACTTTTATTCATTCCACACGTCTCGGCAATAGAAGTATTATGGTGATCACTGATGGCAACGTGATACCACCTTTATGTCAAAATTTATTGTAGAAAACGCTTTACGCAAAGTCATTTAGGTGTACCTAAGATCTTGCCCTCGAAAGGCGCAATTGTTGACCTTAGGTCAAATCTACGCACATTTTTCAGAAAGTGTTTAACCCTATTAGTGGCAGGGGGGGTTGTTTTTATCCACCCCTCAGGTTTTTCGGGAATATCTCCGAAACCGCTGAAGCTACGATGCTGAAATTTTCTGACTTTTCCTAAAACTAAATTGGGCACATTCCCTGACAATTTCAAGTTCATAACTTTACCAGGGACGGCTCCAGAGCACTGGGAATTGGGGGTGCTATTCGTGAAGCGAGTCATTTGGGCGAAGATCACGATGCTGCACCAGTTTTACGAACAGTGAATGAAAGGTATCATGTGATAACATATACAAAGTTATTGTGCATCCTCTTTTGACACGTTTTTGCTATAATAGGCGGATCCAGGCGTCCAAAAAGGGGGGTTATGTTTTACCTCCCAACATAGGTGCCCTGACACCGCCTATGCATGACCAATACAATTGTAGTCGTTCTCTCATAAGAAAATTGTAACATAACAAGACCATTACCACCCTTTTTAGAAACAGTACCAACAAAAACCTTATTTACTATACTTTTTGTGTACCCCCAATCTCAATGATCTGTATCCGCCTATGATTTTTGAAAATGCATATTTTTAGGATCCATGTGAATTCCTGGTTCATTCTCTATCGATCGGCAAAAGTTGCGTTAAGATTGGTTCAGAAACCTGGCCGTGATAAACAGTCTAAAATGTATCTGCAATTTGCCCGTTTTTACCCCCCTCTACCCCCCCCCCTATTGACATTTTTTATTTTTATTTTTTTTTAGAAATGTAGATCTCGTTGAGCGAAATCGAATGCCGTTTGAATTTTGAAAATCGGCCCGTTAGATCTCGAGATATCAAGGGGGGGGGGGTCGTAAACAGCCCCCTTGCCACTAATAGGGGTAGCCAGGAGCCTGCCACTAATAGGGTTAAAAGGGCTATCGAATAGAACCTATGCTTTTCCGAGACGCTGTAGTTCCCTATTCATTCATGTTTCTTAAGTTATGCGGCGATTTCTCCAGAAGTGTTGAAATAAGGGATATTTGACCTTTTAACCTTCGCCAATCGCCGTATTGGGGGGGGGGGGAGGGTATTTTCACGCTCTCCTCCGCGTCATCGTTTTCGACAACAAGCCTGTTCAATGTTCATACATCCTCAACAAACATGCTGTAAAAATTTCAGATCCGAATCATTCAAGGTCAGGTCACCAGGTCACTTCGAAACCTCACTTCATGAAAAGTTTCAATGCCTGCCATAGCTACACCGAGTGGCCGATCCCCACTCGCATGTCCAAAATGTATGCCTCTGAAACTCGATGTCCGCATGACCTAAGGTTACATCAATTTTGCGACCTCCCCATTGTAAATCAATGAGAGAAAATTGAAACGCGCCTCTTTTGTACGAACGTTATTGTTAACACTTCCCAGCACCTAATTACAAGTAAAAATGACACTCTGAATCGGGTAATGGCACCCGCGACCCCCCGTTATGTACCTGGGGTCATCTGGGGTTACAAATGGGGTCTAACAGTTTTTCGCTAATAAATTCTGAGAGATGTAAGCTAGAGCGATGAAAATACCTTAGATGTGTTCAGCTCAACGAAACGGATCGACTTATATGCACCATGACCTTTTCCGGTCAGGTCATGACTTTAAACTGAGGAAATTTTAAAGTTGACCTTTTAAGGTCTAATTATAGTTAAATCGACGAGTATCGACAAGACGCAAAAGTTATTACAGAAGGCTACTTTCTCGTAAAACGGCTTTTTACAGTCTTTGCCCTCTGTAGGCAAAACCGTTGACCTGAGGTCAAATATGAGAGCAACGTTCAGAAAGGCCTTCGTTGCAAAAGGCGACATGAAAACTCAGACCACCAGCATGGCGCAGGTTAAGACATTTGGCGGACCCAGCCTAAAATTGGATCCGGCACTAACTTCGCTATATCAAACGGCGCTTACCGCGGGTCGTTGCGTGGACTAGGAGTCGACTTAGACGGAGACTGTTCACCCCTCCCCCTCCAGCCCAGCGTGGATGGCGCCGAGCACCAGGCATTGTTAGCTGATTTAGAATTGAGTGCCCATTTCAACAATTGAGAGCTGGTGTTGGCAACATATTGCAAGACTCGCACCGTGTTGCAGGGCCAAAGCATCAGTGGTTACTGGTTAGATATAAAACTATTATGAAAGTACGGGACGCTTGCCTGTTGATATGACCTGGCCTGACCCACCAATCCAACTGCAAGGATATATCTTCTTTGATCAAAACAAATGCAAAATCCGAAATAAGGGTCCAGGAAAGCTTCTTCTTGAAGAAATTCTAGCTGGTTCCCAGATTCCCGACGCTTGTGTCATTGACCTAGCCCGGAAGGTCAACTAATGGCCAATGACTTTAGTGATGTGCTGAGATCGTATCTGCTTGGGCTGTCACCGGCGGATGTCACGTGTAGTACGCACACCTGTGGTATGTGCATCCAGCCACCGGGTCGCCGTGTTGTGTACGGAACGTGCAGAACGCATGCGGTACAGATAAAGACCGTGTACAGGGGAAGACGTTTATTGCCCGCTCTCTCACACAACCAGGGGCAGACGGACGGCCGGACCGACTGATCCTGTCAGCGCCCGGGGACAGGGCGTGAGTGTGACAGACGCATTACAGATCAGACAGGCGAGCCAGTCCCGTGCCGGGCCGGTGAGGACGAGCACACACACACACTACAAACCGCAAACCAAACCGAGCGAGGGACAGCAGGCTACAAACCATTCAGAGCAGAGGAGCAAACCAAACAAGAGATCCCGGCGATTAAAATTCCGTCAAATACTCCAAGTCACAACAACTTCTAGCTCATAAACACCAACATTCCTTGGCAACACCTGTCCCATTAGGAAATGATGCGTATTTGAAGCTCCGTGCTTCTGTCCATACTTAAATTGATGATTTGACAGATTTTTCGAAATTATTTAACATTTACAAACGTGATGGATTTCCCAAAATAAGGACTCCCGCCGGTTTCAATCAGAGGCATGCCACGTCTGGGTACACCGGAGTCTGCAGTCCGTGTTAATGTTGTCACCCTATATCGTGCTAGGGCGGCCGGGCCGACTGGACCCGGCCTGGCTTGGTGGGCCGGTCGGGTCGCGTTACCTGCCAGCCGGCTCACAGACACACAGACACACACACACAGACACGGCGCACACTGGGTCGGCTGCAGTCCGTACCGTGTCCGCCCTGAAGTCGCAGTGAGCTCGGAGAGCACCTCCGCCGGCGACCCGACGCGGCCGACACCCGAGACGGGCCGGCCGACCCGCACCGGCGACGCCCATTGGCCGGCCGGCCCGCTGGAAGGCGCTGCCGACCAATCAGAGTCGTCCAGACTGCGCCCACGGCCGCACTGGAAGCACCAGGACCCGATTTAGTAGGGCTCTGGAAATGTGCCTGGCAGCCCCAGCTGCTGGATGGCACGGGGGGAGGGAGGGAGAGACGAGAGGAAACCGAATTCGAGGTCATTTTCACCCATCCAAACCCCCAAACACGTATAAATCACTTATGGCTTAATTACTTCAAATGTCTTCCATGATTCCCTGTCCAGAAGTGATCTCGCTATGACCCATCACCCGAGCTGAAGCTTCTTGTTTCTCTTCTTACATGCCACTCTTAAAAAAATGTATGGACTAACCTAGCGTTAACACATCCTGCAAGGTTGAATCAAGTTAGATGAATAACTATAGTTTTTATGGATAACATGTTGTATTTTTAGTGACATATTGACAATGTACCGGTTCTAGTGATCTTGTGACCCAGTGTAAAGGCAAAACTACTATGTTGGGTCAGGTCGTGTTGGGTCAGAGGCTGGGTGCCCAACATAGTAGTTTTTGCCTTTGTGCGGCAGTGCAAAGGCAGGAAACTCCCAGGAAACGTGTCAAATGAATGTCCCAAGTGGTGTCTGAAACTTGGTGGCGCTATGCGCAACGGCACTCACGCTTTTAACGAAAGGCTCTGTTGTTCTGATGCTGCTCAACTAGCCCAATTTCATCCTGATCTAGTGACCTCTGAGGTCAGGTCAAGGGCCCCAGGGTACGGCTCAGTTTTTGGTGAATAATTTCGCAAAAAAAAAAAAACGGCCGCAGAGCCGCGATTTCGGCAGCATCGTGTTTGCCTCGCTCAGGCGCGTCGAATGATATACTTTTTGTTTGGATGAGCACCCTAAGTTGACCCTAAGTTGAGTTGAGACCCACCCTAAGTTGAGGTCAACACCCTAAGTTTTCGCCCCCAGGTCACGAAATTGGTCGCGACCAATTTCGTGACCAATTTCGACACGGTAGTTAGGAGCCTGACCAACATCGATTACCTCACCAGACAGCTCCAGAAGGCGTGGGCTAAGCTCTGGCCAGCATTGCCTTACATCCTGGTAGTGGTGTCAATCATGCCGGAACGGTTTTGTAGTTATATTGTACAGAAACAAGGATATAGTAGCTAATAATATTTTCATGTCACTGCCGTTTTTTCCATCGTTAGAAGGCGAAAAAGTATGCTCACGTAGTGACTTTCCACCTTGTATGCTGTATTTCTCCGCATTTTTTTTCATTAATCGCCGAAACTTAACCCTCGCCCGCACATGCCATTTTCCCATCCTAGAACGCACATGGGGGGGGGGGGGTGGTTGCCACCCCCCCGCGCCATTTCGTTCCTGTTGGAGATAGAGCTTAGCAGTAAAGACCAAAAAGATTCTTTGGGAAGAGACGAATCCAATGATACCCAGTTTTACCTTCTCAGGTCAGTCATTGACCTTCCAGGTCAGGTCAAACTAAAAAATGTTGCTGTTTTGGGTCACCGTTGGATATCAAGTGCGCTGCTTATCAAATACCGATGACGATGCTGTTTTCTGGTGCCAAGCCAGCTAGAACCTCTTTGTCACACTATCCGACCAGAATTTTGCTGCTGAGGTCATTTCAGGTCAAGTTAGGTCAAGGTCAGTTATATGTGTTTGTATGTCTGTGTGTGTCTGTGTGTACACGGATGTGTGCACCGATTGTTTTTGGGTCCATATCACATGAAATCATGATCTGAGAAGCTTTTACCAAAAATGCAGTCAAAAAACTTCACAAAAAGTAAATTCAGCTTGCCTAAAACGCAATTATCTTAGATGACCTAGGTTGACCTTGACCCTGACCTTGACCCCTGTACATCGTCGAACAACATGTTTCATGATAGGTGGGAGGTAAGACTGGCAAAAAAGGCCGAAATCAGGGTGTCAAAAGCTCACAAGGCCCATGGCAAACGCAAGATGTTGAGAATTGGCCATTTGGGTCATGACATGACCTGAAAAACAAGGTCATATCTCCCAAACCAAAAATCACAGAAACTTGAAATTTTCAGTGGACATCAAAAAAGGATAGACGAGCAGCTATACGAAAAATCAGCCTTCTAGCTCTAAAAATGTTGAGTGCAGAGCAGAAAGACTGCCTGGGGGGGGGGGGGGTGGCAACCACCCCCCCCCCCCATGTGCGGGCGAGGGTTAATCAGGATACCAAAATCAGTGATGTAAAACTGTTGATTGGGGAGGGACTCGAGGGAGAAGCGTTTGGCTGATGAAGAGGGGTAGGAAATGTTGATAAAATGTCTTTTATAGACCCGACTTTATAAAATATGTGCACGATAAAGAAACACATATATAAGGGTAAGCAGCGTTCGAGGCTGGCGATTTCGTATCTCCGCCGGCTGGGGCCGTCGGCGGCTGGCCCGTGTCCAGAGTAGAGATAGTAATTCGTATTCGTTTCGGGCTACACTGAGGTAAAAAATTGTTAAAAACCAAATATTTCGGCTTTATTGAGTAGCCTTGTTCACTGGTTTGAAATATGAAATACAAAAAGACGATACAAATGTGATGACATGCGAAACAGGTTCGTGCTATCAATGATCTGTGACTTCCTTTTTTTTACACTGTGCATACGCTGAAACAACCATACAGTTCAAATCATCACACATCGTAATGACAGTCGTAATAAGATATTATAGATCGTCTGATTCGTATCATCGTCGAAAGTCGGAAACGTATATGCGCCAGACGGTCTCTTATAAAATGCATTAAAACCTGTACTTTGGCTATCATGCAAAGACAAGAAAGAGTACCTAGATACTTTTGAGATGCAAAAAAAAAACAACTATGGTTCCCCATTTTCTCTATAAAACTAACACATGTCAACACAAAGCAACGTCCCAAATCGGGCTAATGGTAGCTTTGCCCACCCCCCTATTCATTGCTGACTTGTGTATCTTTATCTCTAGAGCTTCCCGAATCGTTCTTCTTTTCCAGTTCCGTTCAATGGCCAAGGTTGTAGCTTTTCGCGGGTCCAAATCTCTAGCACATGAGAAGGCGTGTTGTGCTGTAGCCGATGTGTCCGTGCGACCATGTCTTATATCAGCCACATGTTCTTTCAGCCTCGTAAGCTTGGGACGTCCACTTTCTCCGACATAAGACTCCCCGCAATCACATTTAATCTGATAGATGACACCCTTTTGCATTTCTGGATCCGTCTTGTCTTTTACTCCGACTTTCGACGATGATACAAATCAGACGATGTATAATATCTTATTACGACTGTCATTACGATGTGTGATGATTTGAACTGTATGGTTGTTTCAGCGTATGCACAGTGTAAAAAAAGGAAGTCACAGATCATTGATAGCACGAACCTGTTTCGCATGTCATCACATTTGTATCGTCTTTTTGTATTTCATATTTCAAACCAGTGAACAAGGCTACTCAATAAAGCCGAAATATTTGGTTTTTAATTTTTTTTTACCTCAGTGTAGCCCGAAACGAATACGAATTACTATCATTTACCTGAGGAAGATTAGAAATGACACTTCGTCAATAACAGAGTAGAGATGTCAATCGGATACCAACTTTTTGGTATACCGATACCAAACCGATACCCACTTGGTACCTATTTGGTATTTCAATCGTAATGTGTTTGGTATTTTGTTGGTATCATGAACCCTCACTAATGTATAAGTGGCTAAGAAATCGGTAAAAAGTTGGTATTTTCCTCATTTTCCCAAGTTGGTTTGGTTTCGGTATTTCCCCGTGGTTTTGGTTGGTATTTGGTTTGGTATCGGTATTCCGATTTACCGTTATTGACACCACTAGTCCAGAGAGCGGCTCCGGCAGCGGCTGGCCCGCGGCCAGAGCCAGGCGGAGACTCTGGAACGCTGGAACCGCTCCCAACACCGTCTCATGCCATTGGAATCCAGGCAGTGCGGCCGAAAAGATACATTACAGCATTATGAATACCAGAGGCGTCACACAGAGGACGGAATACCAGTGTTGTCAGATACGTCACAGGGGTGGCACGTACCGCTGGGCTACCCGAGCCGTGGCGGGGCCGCGGTCAAACACTGATGGTCGAGGCCTTCGGGCCCACAGATGCGGATGTCGTCAATGGCAATGCTGTCCAGAGGCTGGGTGCCGCGCGAGCCGAATATGATAATCTGAAAACAAACGCCGAGGCTCACTAGGGCACGGTGTTTGGCGCCAAAAGACGCACCACAGGCGGCCGGACGTATGGGGAATGCAGAAAACGCAGAACAGGTGATAGGGATGAGAGCTTATACATAGGGGAAGGTGGGGTAAGACGGCCCAGCGGGGCAAGACGGACCACCAGTCCTCCCGGCTGAACCGCTGCTGGTATCTACTGCTTTATGCACTCACTATGTTTGTTTTCCTTCGTAACAATGGCCACCTTGAGCTCATGCTGCTAGGATGCATAGCTTTTGAGTTATTGAGAAAAATGTTGTTTTTCGTCAAACCGATCTAATATAAGAGGTCTACGGGTGATTCAATTACGGCGCCTTTCTTGCATGATTAGTTTCTATTTTGCACTTTACTGTGAAGAACAAAGTTATAAACTTAGTTATAGTCACACTTTAGGAAAGGCAAGGTTTTGCAATGTTGGGCTATTTGACATATACGTCATGATAATGACAGAATTTAGATTTGGGGCAAGACGGACCACTGACTCCATCTTACCCTGTGGTGGTCCATTGTACCCTGCATATGGAAAGTTCTTTTCCAAAACATTGACACAAGTTTAAGTAAGCTAATTTTTCAGGAAGGAGTCTTTGTTGCACGTGAGCCATGCATGCAAGTGCTCAGTTAGCATGCATTCATGCCAAACGACAATCAACACACATGTTCCCAGCTTTTAGCTGCACCTCCATCACACATGAGTAAAGAATAAAGGCTCATTTTGTTATTTTACCATTCTGGTTACTTTTTCTTACAAGAGTACAGAGCAGAGGTGTAACACACATGAACGGATAGCAGGCACTGCTGGGTGGTCCGTCTTACCCCACGTTTTTTCTTGTCTGAGTTTTTGACATGTCCCTCTTTAAGAGCATCCACCACCTAGATGTCTTTAAGTTGAAATTTAGTCTTTACACATATCAACAAAGGAAGGATTGAGCATTCCGAAGACTATAAATATATGAATTACGAGAGCAGTGTAGCAAGATATGCGGCCTCAAACCTTAGCTGGTCCGTCTTACCCCACCTTCCCCTACATGCTGCGTTCTCGGCAAAGGTCCAGTGAATTAAAGTGAATTGTCCATACACAATACATATTCTTTGTACACCGTAAGCATATCCACAACACTAGATACACAGTTATCTGACTATTGCTACTGCACCTGATCTGTTTTAGCCTGCCTGTTGTGTTCACACACCTACACTCTGACACTAGCCGGTGGCGGTATGCGGCGGGCTGGGATCGGCCGCTGGCCGCGGCGGTTCGTTACCTATCCCAGCCGCCGGCCGCGGCGGTTCGTTACCTTGGCCGGCCGCGGCGGTTCGTTACCTTGGCCGGCCGCGGGTCGGCGGTTCGTTACCTTGGCCGGCCGCGGGTCGGCGGAGCGTTACCTTGGCCGGCCGCGGGTCGGCCGGCACGGCCACGCTGACCTCCGTCCAGCGGTCGTTCCCGGGCGCGGCTGTCTCGGAGAGGTCCAGCAGCGACTCGCGGTCCTCCTCCTCGCCGACGCACCGTTTGACGAACAGCGCCGCGCCGGCCGGCACCTGGGAGCGCAGCCAGTAGCGGAACGAGAGCCGCGACCCGGCCGGGAACACCAGCTCCGCGGTCATCTGCAGCCGCGCGGCCGCGAAACTGCTGCCCGCCGCTGGCGTCAGGAAGACCAGCCAGTCGCCGCTGGCCGGCGCCGGGAAGTCCGGCACCGTGTCCCGCAGCCGGGAGAAGGCGCTCTGCTCCCAATGGCCGCCCGAGTCCCACCGGCTCTGGCGCCAGAACAGACCAAAGTCGTCCGACTCGAAATCGTCGCAGTACTCGCCCGGAACGGGCGCCGGAGTGGTCGGTGTCCAGCGGGTGGTGGGATCCTCCGTCCAGCGGGTGGTGGGATCCTCAGTCCAGCGGGTGGTGGGGTCCTCAGTCCAGCGGGTGGTGGGATCCTCTGTCCAGCGTGTGGTGGGGTCCTCCGTCCAGCGGGTGGTGGGGTCCTCTGTCCAGCGGGTGGTGGGATCCTCCGTCCAGCGGGTGGTGGGATCCTCTGTCCAGCGGGTGGTGGGGTCCTCCGTCCAGCGGGTGGTGGGGTCCTCTGTCCAGCGGGTGGTGGGATCCTCCGTCCAGCGGGTGGTGGGATCCTCTGTCCAGCGGGTGGTGGGGTCCTCCGTCCAGCGGGTGGTGGGGTCCTCCGTCCAGTGGGTGGTGGGATCCTCCGTCCAGCGGGTGGTGGGGTCCTCCGTCCAGCGGGTGGTGGGATCCTCCGTCCAGCGGGTGGTGGGGTCCTCCGTCCAGCGGGTGGTGGGATCCTCCGTCCAGCGGGTGGTGGGGTCCTCCGTCCAGCGGGTGGTAGGGTCCTCCGTCCAGCGGGTGGTGGGATCCTCTGTCCAGCGGGTGGTGGGGTCCTCCGTTATTGTTGTAAGTTCTGTGGTAGTTGTCAATGAGTTGCACTCCTGGTTTAGCTCCATCGGCCCACATATTGTGACGTCGTCGACAGCAATGTTGTTCTGTTCATGATTTGCGCATCCACCGAAAATGATTATCTGAAATGATTAATAAGTGGCACTTTGTCATACGTCATTAAATGATGAATAAAAAGAGTATTAGGTTCATAAAAAAGGAAAGTCTACCAAACCAGAGGAGCATACTAACCCGCCCCGTGCTGGGGGGGGGGGGGGGGGGTTCACCATTGAACTCGTTTGTTGTTGTTTTTATCACTCAATAAAACGTCCCCCCTCCTTTCAGCCTTTTCGCAAATATCTAAAAAGCGGCGACGTGCAGGGCCGCCGTTTTTGACAAACCTGTTTTTACGTCTTTTCCGTATATGTTGTAAAAAATTTCAGACCCGGGTCACTCAAGATCAGGCCACCAGGTCACTAGGTGAACTCACGTCATAACTAATCCAATGTCTTCCATAGCTATACCGAGTGACCGATCACTTTGAATCCTTTATTGATTGGTTAGAACAACAGTGTGTACAAAATTTATATCCCGGAACATTGATATCGGTGACGTAAAGTCTGGTCAATTTTGTGACCTCTCCATGATAAGTTAAGTTATGGGACAAAACTGAAATGCACTCCTTTTAGACGAACGTCGTTCTTAACCAGCGCCGGGCCGGTGCTTCGCGACTTCCGCGCGAGGCCGGGCAGGGGGGGGGGAACACCCCCGTCTAACTCGGCTCCTGGGCCACGTAGCGACACGCGGTAAGCGGTATTCGAAAGAGCGTCAAAAAAATAATGACGGAAACGTGTCAGTCATTTTTTAGGTCAGGTCAAAGGTCAGGTCGCCAGAGGTCATCAAAGGTCAAATGTAGCCCATTTCAACAATTTTGGAAATTGCCAATGGCTAACTCGGGAACCAATAGAGCTACAGCGCCGCGGAAAAGCGCATTCGATAATCTTTTTTACAGACTTATCTGAATAATGTCCTCCGATTTGACCTCAGGTCAACGGTTTAGCCTCCAGAGGGCAAAAACTCCAATAATAGCCGTTTACCTTCTGCGGCCGACTGCTGTCGGGGATGGGCACGCTGACCTCGGCCCACTGGGTGCTGTTGGGCCCGGAGGTGTTGGTGAGTGAGAGCAGCGGCTCCTTCTCCTCCACGCCGTCCACCTGGCGGCGCACCTCCAGCGTGCCCGAGCCCGGGTAGTCGGTGCGCAGCCAGTAGCGCAGCGACACGCTCGAGCCCGCCGGGAGCACCAGCGCGCTGGCCATCTGCAGCCGGGCGTACATACACGTATATCTGGTAGGGGTCGGCCGTCAGGTAGGCCACGGTGCTGCCGGCGGCCGGCGGCGGGAAGTCGGGAACGGCCGTGCGCAGCTGCTCGTAGCCGGTGGCCTTCCAGTGGCCGCGGCTGTCCAGGGGGCTGGTGGACCAGAACGGGCCCAGCTCGCCCCTCTCAAAGTCCTCGCAGTAGTCGCCGGCGGCCGGGGTGCCGGCGGCGGCCCATAGCAGGAGCCAGGACAGCATGCCGGCGCGGCGCGGGGGTCGGCAGAGTGAGCTCGACAGGGCCGGCCGGCGGCCGCTCCACATCGGCCTGTATCGGAGCGGCACGGCCACCTGGTCGGTCCCACCGCTAGTGACGGCAGCGCTGCTCCGACAGTACGCGCCGGGATGATCCTCGATATGAAGCCGAAGTGACAGTCATAGTGAGACGCATTTCTGTACCGCTACAAAACGTATATGTAGGTTCGGACCCCCACCCCCACCCTGCGTCTCAGGGTTTCCTGAAGTACTCATAAACCGTTATATGACTTTCGCCGGCTAGGTAATCACCTTCACCTTAGATTAGATCTTAATTTGATATTAAGGAGCATTTATTCGGCGTATGTCGACGAGAAAAAATGAGCCGGTAAAAGAAATCATTCAAAAGACTCATGCGTCAAAAATTATCGACGAAAACATGAAAACGTAAGCAATTAGTGTCTAAAAAAGAGGGTAATGTGTAAACAAAGGAAACGTCATTTTTTGTTTAGTTAAGAGTATATATCCTGGCAGGCGGTGGGCCTCCTGGTCACCATCCGCGCGGTGGGTGAGGGGGAGGGCATTTTTTGCTCCCCTTGTATCTCCGAAATTACTAGGCATTAGACAAATTCGTAAAATTCAAACGGCATTCGATAGCCCTGTCCAATTGAGTAAAACACTCCGCAACCCAGCGAATGTTTTGGCATGGGGAGTGTCGAGCGCTTGGACTTTGTAAAATTTGAGCGGTGTGTGTGTCTCAGAAACAGATGGCCAACACATTCGGCTACGATATGATGCAAAAAAATTACCCGTGGCACCTCCCGTCTGTTCAGGAATGTGGTCGTTTTGAAACAGAAAATGGTGCCTTGGATGTCGGCGCCAGTCATCGTGAAGGAGTTGGTGCCAGGAAATACCTACAAAATACTCGTGAGTGGTGTCGATGCAAGCTGTCGGCTTTCAGGGAGAAGCAAATGTGGCCGGGGAGCTCATCAAGCCTAAATCCGACGCAGAAACTGCAGGGGATTTCCCTGCAAAAGCTTGAAAGCAGTTCATCTTTTACCATCCTCCGACAGCTGACGGAGCGACGAAAATGGGTATCAGCAAATATTTTTGGAGCTACAGCAAAGGATTTGGTTTCCAACATTCCAAATTCGCTGTCAAAGTACGTATATTTGTCTAGTGTACGCATAGGCATCAAAGCCGTATATTTTTGGCTCATTCTTATATGCTTTATTAAAACCCGCGCCCGGCTGGGGGTCCTGGATTTCCACGCCCTGCTGGGGGGGGGGGGGGTGTTTGAACACCCCCCCTTGTAACTCGGCTACTGGGCCACGTAGCGATACGCGGAAGGCGGCGTTCGAAAGAGCGTCAAAAATAACGACGAAATCACTTCGGTCAATTTTTTGGTCAGGTCAAAGGTCAGGTCACCAGAGGTCATTGAAGGCAAAATTTCGTCGATTTCCAGGTCGAGTGTCGAAAATTTCCAAGAAGCCAACGCATAACTCGGGAACCAATGGAGCTACAGCGCCGCGGAAAAGCGCATTCGATAGCCCTATTAACGCCCTTTCTGAGTAATTCTCTCAGATTTGACCTAACGTCAACGGTTTTGCCTGCAGGGGGCAAAAACTGCAAAAATAACCGATTTTTTCGGAAACAGTTTTTCTGCAATAACTTTTGACTCAAGCCTTGTACGAGCTTACTTTTACCGGCATCGTGTTCCTCTCGTCAAGACGCATCGAATGAACTATAACTTGACCTTGAAAGGTCAACTTGAAAATTTGACCTCAGGTCAAGGTCATGACCTGACCGGAAAGGGTCATGTTGCATATCAGTCGATCTGTATCGTCGAGCTGAACACATCTAAGGCGTTTTCATCGCTCTAGCATGCCTCTATCAAAAGTTATTTGCGAAAAACTGTTAGACACCATTCGTGACCTAAGATGACCTCAGGGCATAAACAAGGGTCACGGACACCATTTTCATGTTCTATGTGACTAAACCACTTGTAGTTCGGTGTTTGGGAGTGTTTATAATGTCTTTTGTCCAAAAGAGGCGCATTTCCATTTTCTCCCATTGACTTATAATGGGGAGGTCGCAAAATTGACCTGACCTTAGGTCATCGATATCAAAATTCTGAGATAAACATTTTGTACATGCTATTGCTCTTAGCAATCGCTGAAAGTTTCAAAGCGATCGGTCACTCGGTGTAGCTATGACAGACATTGAAACTTTTTATGAGGTGAGGTCACTTCAAGTGACCTGGTGACCTGACCTTGAATGACCTTGGTCTGAAATTTTCACAACATGTGTAGAATTAATGTATGATAAGGTATACCAAAAACGGCGGCGCTCCGCGCCGCCGTTTTTGAGATATTCGCGAAAAACCACAAGGGGGGGTGTTCAAACACCCCCCCCCAGCAGGGCGCGGGTTAATTAACATGGAAAATGTGTCAACGAACTTTTGAGACACCCTGTAGGTTAAATTTCAAGGTATCTGATCAGATACATGTATCTGTTTATTTGTAATAAATTTCAGAAGTTATATTTGTATCTTTTTTGCAATATCTTTCATTTTTCGAGAACACAAAACGAAACATATAGACTGTGCCACAGTGCTGCTCGCTGCAGCAGCGACAGCCAGCCGGACAGCCCGGCGGTCGTAAAACGGTAACAATAGTTACACCCACCTGCTAATTTGATCGAAGCTATTACGATACGGTGCAAGGCCCTCTAACCAGGTATGGACATCGGCCAATCGGGGCGAATCACGGCCGGCGGGAGGATGACGTCATCGGCCCATACTCCGCCGACTCCGCCCACCCACGGCAGCGAAACTGAATGGGGTTTGCGCCAATTGTTTCGTGATCGATTTTATCCAACTGGAATGCAATAAACGTTCAGCGGCCTCTTAACCCTTTGACTCAATATCCTTGCAACCTTTCAACAGCAAAAAATTGCAGCTAACTTTCTCTATTTTGCAGTCGGTGCCGACGGTACCGACTGCTGTACCTAAGCCGTGGGCCCGCCCGTAGCAAACGGGTAGACAGAAACTAGGTGACCAAAACACAAAACCAGCTGTTTTGTACACGATCATTAGCATGTCATAGGTTGATATAAATGCCAAGCTATGCACAACGCACATTCGTGGCTAGACAGCATAGAAGTTAGAACCAAAAATACTGTCAACAAAATACTGTCAACTACTGAGTTCAAGCGCGGATCCAGCTTGGAGTTGGGGAGGGGGAGGGGGCAACTGTTCATCGACGGCGGACATAGTGACTGTGTGGAACTCATTGTAGTTTTGGTTATCGGCTCGGGAACGGTCGACGGCACTGTGCTGCTGCTAGGTGCCTCCTCTGTCGTTTGACGGGGCTCTGGACTTGGAGCACCTGCTAAGCTTTGACTTACCGCTACGGCTCCGGTGCCATCGGCTCAGAGACCAACAGGCTGTACCGGCCGGAACTGATCGGCGATTCTAATTATGTTAGGCTGATTAAGAGATTCTGCTAGTGCGGGAGGGGCAGATGGAGCCTGGCCGGTGGGTTCTGCCTCAACGCGGGGCTGATGGGGTAAGGTGCAGCCCATATACAAAAAAGTAAAAGCGTTGGAAATATCGCTTCACAAAGTCAGAGCATTTAGCATGGAAACGCTATGGCCCTAGGAACTGAATGTCGTGGCGAATTTCGATGCAACCAAATTTCGGCGGGGACTTGCATCCACCTGCCGCTGGTCAGCCGTGCCACGGACGCTCTGGACTTGTCGCTGCCGGTGCTGGCCGAGCTGGCCGCGCTCTGGGCCGACTGCGCCGAGCCACTGCGGCCATGGTGCCCGACCTGTACCAATAGTAGCTGACGCCGGGGCGGCGCTCGGCGAGGCCGGTGCTAGTCGGAGATGGGGCCGCTGCCGGCTGCGGTGTCGCGCGGTGCAGCTGCTCGGCACGCTGGCCACGCCGCCGCCACCGGCTTGATGGCAGACAGCTTGCAGGCGCAGCTGGCCGCCTGGAGTCAGCGGCCTGTGCTTGAGCTGGCCATGCCATTCGGCATTCGCTGACATGAAGACCAGCCAGTGACCGTATACATTCCTGCCGCGTGTCGTCCAGCTGGCGCTCAGCTCCGGCAACGCGGAGCTAAGACCTCCGGGCTCCGCGTGCCAGCTTGCTGAAAGCCGTGACCGCGTTCACACTAGGTGAACCGCTTGCTACACGGCGCTATCACGAATAAGGCATTTACGCGATAATAACCAGTTCAGAAGTCTTGTACTTACGCGAAAAGCTGAACGAGGGGGTCCAAATGGGTGAATTCCAGATAAAAAGGTCAAATTAGGTCACGCTGGGTCATTTCAGGTCACAAAGGTCACTTTAGGTCACCTCAGGTCACCCTGGGTCAGGTCAGGTCACAGAGGTCACCCAGGGTCACGATGGGTCAGGCCAAGTCACAGAGGTCACCTTAAGTCGCAATGGGTTGGATCACATTGGTCAGGGCTATCATGGGCCGATGACGTCATTCCTGCTCATCAGCTGGCTACAACATCGGCCTATGGCACAGCATTACGGTGTCACCCCCCTGATACGGTGTGAAAAACGAAAAATCGCATCACGCATAAAACTTACCAGCTTCGTCACAAAAAAAGCATTAAAGGTAGTGTGCCACCTTTGAAAGATTTCCCATTTTATTTTTCCTAGGATAAGAAGCGTCTGTTTTTACCTAATATCGCAAAAAAAATCAAAAATGGGCCTGGAATAGTGCCTTTTTCGCCTAAAAGTTTATCGGTTTTTCGATATGTATAACAAATGTAGTGGGCTCACCTGCAAACAGGCGTCGGCAACAATCGCGAATGCGGCGCACATGTGACAATAAGCAAAGGTCATTATAGTGTTACGACGTACGGGAATGAGTTATCAGCTGTCTAATCGTAGACAACACAATGTCGAGCCTTAAACTGTAAGCCTGTATTGGTATTGTTTCTTTTATTTGGCTGTCGAACATTATTTATGGTTTGAAATATGATTTTATGTAAAATAATTGATATGAAAAAGCCGTCTAGTCATAAGTTATGACCCCATTTCACCACACGCGAGTGGCAGAAATGACCATGATCAGCTGACGCAGTTTTCTTGGCCGAAGTCAGAGCGCGCAGCCCGACGCGCCACCACCGCACCACAAAGTATGAGCAGAAGCCGCGCCCAAAGCCAGGGCCCCGGTAACGTGAGGTAGCCGAGTCGGGGCAGCGTGCGCTGACCCAAGCCGGGGCCGCAGCTTTGGGCGCGGTCTACCGCATCCCCGCGGGCAGCCCCGGGCTATCACATGACACCGGGAGGACGCGCGGCTCAGGCTTGGGTCAGCGCACGCTGCCCTGACTCGGCTACCTCACGTTACTGGGGCCCTGGCTTTGGGCGCGGTCTACCGCACCACCTAACAGGCGTGTTCGAAACCGCAGGAGCTGATGATGAACGGGTTTATCGAAACTTGATTGGATGAGCATATCGGTAATAGCGATTTCAGTGTGTGCATTTATTGTTCATAGTGGTGTGAAATGTGGTTGGGGTACGACCGACAACCCGTCGGGGCGAATTTCGCACTGGGGTACTCAAAATTTGAAGAATTTAAGACGTTTCCATGAGTTTTGAAGGTATGGATAAGTTCTAAAAATCCGGTTCTCCTTATCTGGGCCATTAACTCCATACGGTCCAGGAAAGCTGGCACACTACCTTTAAATAACCTATATTGGGACAACACACCAATCGCATAATTCCTCTAAAAATGCCAACTCGTACAAGGTCGAGTTCATTTATGGCCAATATTTTTCTCAGGTTTCAAAGAGACCTCGCCGGCTCGCCTGTCGTACTACATCCTCAATCACTCCGAGCACAATATATTGCTACCACACGGCACGACTCCGCGCGCCGGCCACCTATCGGCAAACGTTCTCGCCGCCGGCCTGGTTCACCAGGTTCCGTTTGCCGGTCTTGAGCAGCTCCTCGCCGTGCACCGTGTTCCCCTTGATGTGCACGGTCACAGAGAAGACGGTGTGCCAGCGACTGTCGGCAGCGGGAACGTGCCGTCAGGGGGTTACCGGTAACGGAGCACTGCACGTCACGGAGACCGCGGAACGAGCCATCGTACCATTCAGGAGGAGGGGGAGAGCGAATCGTCACACGGGAGGCACGGTGGAAATTATCACAGAAAGCACGTAACGTCACGGAATCACGGGGCTTAAACACCCAGCAAACATGCCCACATGGGTCCCATATGGGGTGAACATGGGCCAGATGGGCCCACGTGGGACATGGGCTACAGATGGGCTACCCACATGGGCCCCATATGGGATAAAAATGGGCCAGGTGGGCAAAACGCATGTGGGCTGGAGATGGGCATCCCATGTGGGTCCCATATGGGATGAACATGGGCCAGATGGGCCGACGTGGGACATGGGCTACAGATGGGCTACCCATATGGGTCCCATGTGGGCGCCGCGTGGGTCCCATATGGGGCCTACGTGGGCTGGCCCATATGGGTCCCACGTGTCACCCACTGCCATTCCCATGTGGGACCCATATGGAAGAGGTGGGGGGCCCATGTGGGCCCCATATGGGAACCATGTGGGCATGTTTGCTGGGCAGCACAACCGCGGAACGAGGCAGAAAGCACATGACGAACTTGTGGTGTCGCGCCATCTATGTGAAGGGGCGATACCGGTAGTGAGCGCGCCTGCCTGCCGGCGGGGGCGCACCAATCGCCGGCCGGCGCAGCTCGGGCAGCCGTCTCACGGCGGCGCCCGACCGGGCAGACCGGGATTCGTTTTACGCCTAGAATACACCTTATACAGCTGTGCTCGGATGGCGCGCGGGAGCTCGAGTGGAGGACGGATTACCTCGAGCAGAGGCCAAAACAGGACTTCGTGAAATCGCGAGTTTTACTTTGCAAGAATTTGACGCTGCCACTTACAAGGTGCTGAAAAAGCACCCCCTGAGATTATGACAATCTCCACTTCTGACAGTGACATCGGATGTCAGCCTGGCGGTGTCGCGGTGCCCGCTGACAGCTCTCCGTTGTTGTGACGCCGTCACTGCCGATAGAGATCCCACCTCGCGTGCCGGCAGTCTGCCAGACGTGCTGGGCGGAGGCCAGGTGCCGTCAGCTACCGGCCGTCCGCGCTGGGGCAGTCTTATGATCTGGGACAGTCCAATGAGCTGGGACAGCACTATGAGCTGGGACAGCTGGGACTCGGAGACGGGCTCACTGCTGGGACGCTGCAGGAAACGCTAACTACAAACGCTGCTAATGAGAGGTTTAATGGAGACGTTTGGGACTTCTGTCGAAGCTAAAGTGTCTCGTGTAGGAACCACTGCCTGTGCCGGGCCGGGGTAAACACCGGGCTGCCAGGACGGCTGCTCTGGAGACTGCGGCCCATTCCGGGCCCGCGGTAGAGCGGGACGGTCTCGGCGCGCGCTCAGTCGGGCCGGCACCGTCGGCCGAGTCGCAGGTGCTGTGGCACAAGTGTGGTACTTAAATAGCGCAGATCGGCCGGCGCGGTGGTCACGACAGTCGGTGGCAGAGCCCGGCCCGTGCTGCTGACAGTGGCAGAGACACCGGAACAAAGATCGGAGACGGAGACGCGCAGACGGAACGGAGACTGAGACTGAGGCAGAGTCATAAAGACGAACAGGCGGGAAGACGTAAGTAGAGAAGAATACTTAGACGGACAACAATAGACGGACAGCTAAGCGGAAAGGCGGTATCGTCGGCGGTGTAGTGAGCTTCTGTATACCATGGAGAGCTGCCGACGCTGGTTCGAAGAGCGGCTGAGCGGCTGCTGAGCGCTGCGTGAGCTGCCGACGGCGGGTGCCGCCGGTGCCAAACACTGTCTGTGCGCGGCGCACCTACCCTGCCACGGGCCGGCCGACGGCGCTGTCAGCGGCGCAGTCTGGCAGCGGGTGACGAGGTAGGCGGAGGGCGGGCAGTGTGAGGGCGATCCGAGAAACGAGCTGGCCCAGCTGCAGTGAGGCGGTGAACGGAGTCACACCAGATACAGTGACCCAGAGAGCAGGATTTGTCACCTGTAGTGACTCGCGGAAATTATTCGTGATAATTACTTTATGCATGATAGAACCGCGCCACAAGGTGTGCGAGTGCTGAGTTAGTTCAGGTGATAGGTACCGTGTTACCACTGAAGTGGTAGAAAAAAGTGTCTAAAGTGATTTCGTTTGTCAGTGATGTCTCACAGCGCTCATGCTGACGGAGCAAAGTGAAGTGAGCGTCTCAGTGACAGCTTCGGTCGAACTCGAGCGGGGTACTTTCCAGTGACTGAGCATGAGCGACCGGCCCAGAAAATCCGGCCACAGCTCCAGTGAAAGGAAGGGAAGCATTCACCAGATCAGGAACCTGAAGCTGGAGGAGGTAAGTCAGCCGCAATGCCGGATATCCCATTGCACGATAAACGACTGCAAATGCTGACAGGTTGCTAAATGAGCGGTTTGATTTGCTACAGACGCTGAATGTCTGTGTGACTGTGACTGGTGAAATAGAGACGCGTTCAGACTCTGGCTTCCTCCATGTCAGGTGAAGCTGGAGGAGCAGTATGAGGTGCTGCAGACTCTCTGCGAGGTGTGGTCCGGCCGTATTTTGCTGGCTGAACACCGCGCCAGCCGACACGAGGTCATCCTCAAGGCGCTTCACAAGGTGGCCACCAGCCGGGCCGACTTTCTGCGCGAGTTCCACTACAGGTGAGCTCGGCCGCTTCCAGTGTATCCCCCCGGTACTGAACTACGCTCAAGACGGAAGCCATGGTCCACTCTGTCTTATAAAGGGTGATTGAACGGATGATCGCTTCGTGTGTGACGCGTGTGCTGACCCGTACCTCCCACCCGGCCGGCAGTTACTTCCTGAGTCCCCACCGGAGCATCGTGACCACGTACGACGTGGCGTTCAGTACGTCCGACATGTTCGTGTTCGCCGAGGAGTACGCTCAGTTCGGCGACCTGGCCTGCTACGTCTCCAACGGCGGCATCGGCGAGCGCAACACCAAGCTGCTGGCGCCTCAGCTGGTCGCTGCGCTCGACTTCATGCACAGCAAGAGCCTGGTGCACCGCAACGTGCGGCTCGACAACATCCTGGTCTTCAAGAGCGACCTGTCGCGCGTCAAGCTGGCCGACTTTGACCAGACGCGGCCGGTGGGCTGGCGCGCCCGGCGCGGCGACGAGTGGGCGCCGTACGCGCCGCCCGAGGTGGTCAGCCAGCCGCGCGGCGAGCTGTACACGGTGGCGGCCGCGCACGACACCTGGCAGCTGGCCGTGGTGCTAGTGGTGTGTCTGACCGGTGCCCTGCCCTGGCAGCGCGCCGACAAGACCGACGCCCGGTACGCGGCCTTCTGCCAGTGGCGCGGCTACCGGGCGCTGCGCGCTCCGCACCGGTTCGGCGAGTTCTCGCTCCGGCTGCAGGGCCTGCTGCGGCGGCTGTTCGAGCCGCGCGCGCGCCGCCGCTGCGCCGTCACCGAGATCGGCCGCCACCTGGGCCACCGCTGGACGGCCCGCTCGGCCTCGGCCGCCGCCGGTGACGGCGTGGACGCCGGCGACGCCACCTCGGTCTGCTACTCGACGTGGTCGGTGCACTCGTGTCAGCAGCAGAAGAACGCCGTGCTGGCGCCGCTGCGCGCCCTCGGACTGGAGACGGTCGTCGATCACGACGCCAAGCGGCAGCGGCTGCGGGACTGGGTGGCGCTGACGGCGCGCGGGCCCGCCCTCGAGGAGGGTGAGCCGGAGCTGACGGAGGGCCGCGGCGGCGGGAGCCAGAGCTCGGCGGCGTCGGCGGCCTCCTGTCCGCGGCACAGTCCGGCCGGCTCGCTGGCCGAGGAGGACGCCGAGTAGACCCTGAACTGTCGGGTGAACTGGCGTGGTAGAGAGCTCCGACTCCAACGACTGGACTCGGCCAGACTCGTGCGCTATCCAAGTGGTATACGATCAAAAAGGTCACGATCAAAATGGTACTCGATCAAAATGGTAGACATACGATCAAAATGATAGATAAACGATCAAAATTAAATAGCGTACTTTTACAACAACAAGTACGTGTTGACCAATGCTGTGCACTGGCAGATGATTGTAGATTATTTACCAAGTCTCGCCGTGGCGAAACTCCTAAAACGTTTGTATCACGGTGAGGCTAAATATCCCGTGTCTGTGCAGTGTGAGCGCATGTCGATGCCGCTATCGTTGCTCTGTTGTGACTGTTCGCTGCATGATTGCTTCGTATGACTGCAACTGCCAGCCGCCAGAAGCTGAGATGAAGCGACTGCCTCTTGGTGTGCCTGGACACAATCGGTGGCTTTGGACCTGGGCCGCCGTCTGCGGTTCATGTTCCATGTAACGAGCATCACCTATTTACCGCGTGCATGTCTTCCTCGCATTATTTTTGTGCCAGACCAATCGGATTGATCCTCACACATGTCATAAGTGAACGGTGTGACATTTGATATACCGAAATAAATGATATTCATTGTTAGTGCTATGTGTGTCCATTACGGAGAAGTGTTCTGTCTAGATGGAAACGGCGGTCGGTCCCCAGGCCTATATATGGGGTGCTTATCTATCAGTCTATTGTAACTTGTTGTTTACCTAATAGGATGTGCTCATTTGTTCGCATAGGGTATGGAAAATTGTGCTATTCTCTACCGGCCTCATAACGTTCTATCAAAACGTCCCAACCGGTCGTCGGCCGTCTGACGTACCCAGGGCATATTTTAAGGATTTTTCACTGCGTCCCAAAGGTGGCATAGGGCACACGCTTTGATCGGAAAGGGCACATTGCAAGCGAAATAGTAGCCTCATGAGTGGGACAGTGCCTAACGCCTGGAAACACGCTCTGGTCACGGCTCTACCAAAGACCGGTGATTTGAACGATCCTTCCAAATTTAGACCCATCTCTGTGGTGCCTGCAATTGCAAAGATAGTTGAAAGAATTGTCCACTCTCAACTTAGTTCATATTTTAGCCAACACGATTTATTCTCACATGCACAGCATGGCTATCGAATGCATTTTTCCACTGAGACCGCGCTCACCGTCATCATAGATAAGATCCTCATGGCCATGGACGCCGGTGATATCGCATTGTTAGTTCTGATCGATTTGTCCAAATGTTTCGATGTTGTTGATCATCAGCTGCTCTTATCCAAACTCAAAATGTATAACGTAGACACCACATGGTTTGAAAGCTATCTTAGTAAACATACACAACAGGTTCAGATTAAGCATCCTTCCGGACACACTGTTCGCTCTCGCAGCCTCCCCAATGAAATGGGCGTTTTCCAGGGCACTGCTCTGGGGCCACTCTTGTTTTCAATTTTTTTCGAACGATCTGGCGTTGTATTCAGGGGACGCTATGGTAGTACAATATGCCGATGACACGCAAATTTTAGTGACCGGAAAGAAAAACAAGCTACAGCAACTTGTGACAACCATGGAGAACACCTTATCGGTCGTGCTTGATTGGTTCACTAGCCACTCCATGAAAGTAAACACAGCTAAAACACAACTGATTGTATTCGGTACGAAGGCTATGCTGCGTCATGTGCCTCCTGTTAGCATTAAGTTCGGCTCAGCTGTCATTACTGAGAGTCCCACAGTAAAGAACCTTGGCGTGGTGATGGATAGACACCTTACCTTCGAACCGCACGTCGATCAGCTTGTAGCGAGGTCAACAGGTATACTGATCGCCCTGTCTCATGCCAAACATGTACTTCCCAAAGAGACGTTGGTTCGTATCGTCAGTGCACTTGTGCTCTCCTCTATCAGATATTGCATCGCACTGTATGGCACTTGCGGTGTAACGCAGCTCCACCGAGTGCAAAAGTTGATCAATTTTTGTGCGCGGATTGTGAGCGGAAGGAGGAAGTACGATCACATATCTGATGTCGTAAAGGACCTTTGTTGGCTTAGGGCTGATCAACTGGTCTGCTATCACACTCTCTGCCTGCTGAAGAGAGTCATGTTCACGGGTCAGCCAGGTGATATAGCCGCGATGCTGACTACTGCTGACCATGGCTATGATACGAGACAATCTCACCAGCTAAGGCGCTCACATGCTGTAAGCACCTCAGGAGTCCGCCGATTTAGTTTTAGAGCAGCTGATTTGTACAACCACCTCCCACCCGATGTACGTAATGCCCAGCATATCTATCAGTTCAAGCGCCGTCTTAAAGATTTTCTTCTAGACGATGATATGATGTGAGGCGATGATACGGATGTGTCTGGTTGGCCGATTGACCTCTGACCCTAGTGGTGGTGATGTTGTGTGTGTGTTTTTTTTTCATGTCATCTTTTATATTATCTCGTTTTATGTCCCACCTTTTTATTCACAAGACGTGTAACTTTTAAACAGCCACTGTAAAGTGGAAAGTTGCTAAATACATGAATTGAATTGAATTGAATTGAATTGAAATAGTATATAATGCAAGTGAGATAATGTACATACAGATACATTGTGTACTGTGCTGGTGGAGGGGCACTGCAAGCGGGATATTGGGAGCGGGCTGTGATTGCTTTTGGCCAGTCTCGAAATTCGCCCAGTCGTAGTGCGTTCTTTATCCGCATTCAAAGGGTGGACCGGCGATTTAATGACATTTACATTGTTAGTCACTCGTTTTCCTGAACGGCGTTGGGCGTGTTTGACCTCCCTTGACGCACCAAATTGTACCTATGCTTAGAGAATAAAAATGAATATGCACATGATTAAAATGTGATACATACGTCTCTTCATGCGTTTTTCACCCTTATCAATCGATTAAAAATAGAGGTTGACGTGTGAAACATTGCCAATTTGCATTGAAGATACTATGTGTTTGAAAAAATTAGATGACGTAAGGTCAAACAGTACCCACCTAAGTTGTGACAAGAAATCATCGGATTTTAAAGCTACATAAAAAATCCATCATAGATTAATGCTTTGGATGAACGGATGCTTTGGATGCTTCGGATTTCGCTTCCTTACTGCCTATCATGTAATATAACCCAAACTTTTCCCAATGGAAGTTCCTTTGTTTAATTATTATGCCCAGAAATGTGTCGATTTTGTGCCATTTCCGGGCGCTTTGGGGGGGGGGGGAGCATGGCCCCGTGGCCCCCTCTATATCCTCCTATGGCCAGACGGCCATGACGGCCCTGATCTGACCGTATGCCATCAAATGTCAAACTTCGCAATGATGCGATATTTTTTTTTCGGAAAACGTGCCGGTGTCTCAAAAACTATTATAGCTAGGAGTGCGCAATCGATAGGAGAAAAGCAATCGATATATCTTGAACAGCTCTTTCGTCAATATTTCGTCAGAATTGAGTTCAGATCAACGGTTAAGGCTCCATAGCCAAAAACGGGTAAAATTACAATTTTTGTCAATATAGGTTTCATGAAAAGCTTTTGAACTAAAAAAAGGTAGAAAATTTTCATTTGCACGATCGTTCTTCTCTCATTTTTACCTCGAAATGTCAAGGTCAGAACTTGACCTCACATTAACCCGCGCCCCGTTGGGCTCTGCCGAGCAACGCGCCCGGTTGGGGGGGGGGGGCATTTTGGCCCCCCCCCTAAGATCTCGAGAACCACGCAACATAGCGACAAGCGGTAAACGGCGTTGGATAGCCCCAACGGGGAACTACCTTGTGACCCAATTTTATTGACCTAGGTCAAACCGATGACGTCACAGGTCAGGTCAAAGGTCCAATTTTCACCGTTTACAGGCACTTCAAGAAATGCGTTGTAAAATCGAGTAAAATGCATTTCTTTGAAAATCATCGATGGGGAAATGTTCTTCAAACACATTTTGCTATTTAAAGTCACTGATACCAGGTCAGGTCACAGAGGTCAGGTCACGGGGGGGTCACAATATGAAAGTGTCGTGTGATACATGTTTTATGGTCCATTTTACATGACAAATGCGATTATATGGGTCAGGCAGCCTTTGGGGCCAGCTTAGATCACGTTTTGGTCAAGGTCAGGTCAAGGTCAGGTCAAGGTCAGGTCAAATTAGGTCAAATTTCAAAGTTAATATTTTTGCATAAAATGGGTATCGAATCGATGCAGCTCGTCACGGGGAGTTCAATGGTGGTCTTTGTTTTGCCGTACGTGGTCTAGAATTGCTAAAAATTGAGTTCAAAAATTTCACGTCATCATTTTTGAACAGTTTTTTCGCTATAACTTGGCCAAAAAACGAGATATCGATCTGAAATTTGGTATGTATATAGAAGAGCGCTGGGACTATCACCTATATTCCGTTTTTTTTCGAAATTCGGAAATTTTTTGGATTTTTTCAAAGTTTTTCTAAAAAAATCAATTTTTTGATTTTTTTTTTGGTCAAAAACCAAAAATTTTGAAAATCCGAGATAGCAGTTTTGTAGCGCCGTTTTTTGTCTCCTAGATCATATAAAGAACTTTGAAATTGCTTGATAACTGTAGATTTGGTGAGCGTTTCAAGATTGCATGTTTTTTGCTCATTTTTGCTCGAACATGACCTCAGTTTGACCTCAATAACTCCTGACCTAAGGTGACCTAAGACTTGAAATTTGGTGTGAAGGTGTCAAATTGATGCCCGGGAAGGTACTGAAAATTTGGCGGCGCTGCGCGCCGCCGTTTTCTTGCTATTCAGGAAAAACCACAGGAGGGGCCAAAATGGCCCCCCCCAACGGGGCGAGGGTTAAGGTCATTTCGTGACCAAGATAGATCATGTCGCATATCAGTCGATGCGTTTCGATGAGGTACCTCAAAACAATGATACAATCCACTGTGCATGCAAAAGCCCTGTAGGGCCGGATTTTGGGCCAGGCTCCGGGCCTGCGGGCTCGACCTTGACATCTCTAAACAGGACCTCGGGGAAGGGCAGGACACAGAGTCTGAGCCCTAAGGACAGGGCAGGCACAGGCCATGAAGCTAAGATAAGACGGATACTTGAGGGCTGGGTAGGATGCAGGGTCCGAGGGCAAGGCAAGGCGCGGGTCTGAGGCTATCATTACACAAGGCCGGAGAGCAGTGTAAGACACAGGGCCTTAGAACACCTGATGATCAACACACCTGGTGGCAGGGCAACACGCAGGATCTCAGAGCAGGGCAAGAAATAGTACCTAAAGGTAGAGCAAGACATAAGACACAGGTATGGCACAAGGCCCGAAACACCGCCCACGTCTTGTCATACCTTCGGGCCCCGAAGGTATGACAAGACGTGGGCGGTGTTTCACGGACGCTGCTATCAAATTCCGCGAGCTGACGTCATACTTGTGGTAGTGTTTGAGCAATGGGCCTGTTGATGTCTCCATGGAAACCCAATTTGACACGTGTAATAGCAACGTGCTGCTATCACCGGTGAAACAGGGCCAGGGTATGGGGCCTGAGGGCAGTGCAAGGCTCAGGGCATGAAGGCAGAACAAAGCACGGGTTCTGAGGACATGTAAGGGCACGGGGCATGAGGACGGGAAACGGCACGGGACCTGAGGGCGGGAGACACCACAGGGCCTGATGACAG